ATGTTGTACCTTTTTTAGTTTGTACGAGTGACATGAAAATTACAAGAACAAAGAACGGCTCGTGCCGTCTGCGTTCAACTATATCTCAAGCCATAATAAAACGCTTTGTCTTGTAAGTGATTTTTACCCGTTATTCAGTCACTGCTAACATTTTACTGACCTGCTTCTGTGAAAATCCGTGCGTAAGAGTGCGTTGAAGGTACTTTCCTTTCTTCTGTAGCAGTGAATGTGATTCAGTTCGAGTCAGTCCTACTCTCTCCCTGAGGTCCAATCTGCGACTGGGCGTTTTTTTCTCTTTTCACCCCTCCTGTTAAACCCACGGTTTGAGACATCTGTCGTTATCACAGCCTCTCCTGCCCACTGCCCACAATCCATATACCCTCCCCTCCTCCCTTCCCTTCCCCCTCACGTTGGGTGCATATTTTACTAGATTAGATGGGCTTTATAATGGGTTTTGGGAATAATGCCCCCTTTTCTTTCACTGTTTTTTAAGTGATCTCTATAGCAACTGTATTCCTTTTGACTTGATGTTGGTGGATTTGCCTTTTTTCCACCTGCCTGACTGGTTTTTAGCATGCATTTCTCTGTATGTGTGTGTGTAAGGACAGGGGTTAAAGCAATTCTCCACCCCCATGGCTGAAGGAGAGGAGAATGAAGTGAACTGTAAGCAGGGCCTTCGAATTCAGTAGCACAGTATTGTTTTAACAGTGTAAAGTGTCCACGCACCAATCCAGTCTTAAGCAGATATTCTGTTGAAGGAAGAACAACTAAATGTAACCATAGCTTAAACACAAAGTGAAAGATATTTCATTCATTTGTTCTTATCTTGGCAATGCTGAATGACTCAGATTCTTTGAGTGTCTGCAAACCACCAGAATAATGTGTCTGAATCATATATGTGCCGCAGGTCAAGAAAGATGTAAGAGAGTCATGAGGTCATTCCTAGTATAACATTCCACTTAAAGTGGTCTGACATGGCACCCTTGTGAAATTTGGCTACTTGCTGTTAATAGTACAAGCAGAGGTGCGATGAGATTTTACTAGGCCTGTTTCATATGAGCTCTATAAATATGTATAATAAATGCAAAACACACTCCCCAATATTAACTCTTCTTTTTAACCTTTTATAATAGGCTTCAGATTCAAGAAGTACTCACCGTTCTAAAGGATGGTTCTCTAATATGATAACGTCGTATCTTATGTGCCCTCCAGCCATTGAATATGTTGAATATGTCTTTACAAAGACAGGTATTCACTATTAACCTGTTGGGTTACTTTTGGCCTCCTATTTAATCAGACACAGAAATCAGAATATTTTAAATAGCTAAATACAGTAAGTAGTTGTAATAGACGTTATTGTCTATTACTTACTAAGTGAGTTTTAACATTAACTTTCAACTTTTAACATGAACCTTTGAAGAGCAATCAAGTACATTAGATATCATTATTATGCAGGGAAAAAAAAAGAATATTGGATATGCTGTTGCGCACAAGTGTACAATAAAGGATGGTCTTATAAAAAACTCACCCTGGGGCAAAGCAGGCCAGCTGTGTGGATTATTATAAGTCAATCCTTATGTAGACAAGCCAATTACATATATATATATATATTTTTTTTTTCCATCACAGGCTCATGATTAAATCACACTGAGGGAAGGAATGAACCAGCGCACCCTTTCATCACTGCTAGACACATGGAATGTGATGAAACATGGTCGTGAGAAACTAGTTTCCTCTCCGTAGTTCTGCATGTTTTACAGCACAGCTTGCATTTTTTGTTGTACTAAATGTCAAGATTAGAAATCAAACAACCTAACACAGGACTTTACTGTCAGATACTTGAAATATGAGAGCTTGTGGTCTCATATGAAAAATGTAAATACATGTTTTATTTCTTGACAGTTTTAATGATCTACATTCATGTCTAAAAATTGTGCGTAATGTTTAGATTTCGGTCGCACAGCTGGTATGTTGGCAATTTGTTCAAATGCCCAGCTATTCTGGGCAGAGAGTTCAAGGTTACAGAGTTCCCAGACTCTGTGTGCTGAAAGGTTTATGATCTGTGAGCTTTATGCCCCAGAGAATGTTTAGCAAGCATATCATATGTGTTTAATCATACAGTCTCATGTCAATAAAACAACAACAAAAACGTTTGCTCAGGATGCAGCTTTCTTTGGGGGGAGAAAAGAAGACAGCAGCCTCTAGTGTCTGAAGAATGATGGTGCAAAAGCTCTTTGCATTTTAGACAAAGCCTGTGAACAAGAGGATAAGAATACTGATGAAAGACAGAATGACAAGAATAACGTTTAAAAGCTAGATAAAAAAAAAAATCATAAACTTGATGATCTGAGTTTAAAATAAGATTAACTGCAAAATTCAGCTACATTCAGGTTATTAGTTATAAGAATAGTTAATAAAAAAATGACAATTTGCTGAAAATGTACTCACCCTCAGGCCATCCGAGATGTAGATGATTTTTTTTTTTCATCAGAATAAATGTAGAGAAATTCAGCATTACGTCACTTGCTCACAAGTGGATCCTCTGCAGTAAATGGGTGCCGTCAGAATGAGAGTGTGAAGTGAAAAGATGTGTATTTGTAAGAAACAAATCTATCATTAGGATGTCTTAACTTTAAAGCGTCATTTCTGTCCATAATGCATAATAACGCTTTCTCCAGTAAAAAAGTCCATCCCCTGTTGTCCTCTCACATAAAAATCCACTGACATAATTGTTTCAAACTGTTTTCATTTGTAAATAGTGCTTTACTCCTGATTCAGTCAAGATGCTTTTTCACAGTAGAAAACAATATTATGTATAGAGGACTCCTAGCCAGAAGCAATTGTGTTAAGTTGAAAACATCTTAATAATGGACTAGTTTCTAACAAACTAGCAGATTTTTGCTTCACATAATGCTAATTGATGGACTGGAGTCATGTGGATTATTGTGATGTTTTACATGCTGTGATGTTTGGACGCTCATTCTGACGGCACCCATTCACTGCAGAGGATCCATTGGTGAGCAAGTGATTCAATTCTAAATGTCTCCAAATCTGTTCTGATGCAGAAACAAACTCATCTAAATCTTGGATGGCCTGAGGGTAAATGTTCGGCAGCAGTCATTTTTGGGTAACCTGTTCCTTTAACTAAAACTTCAAGGCGTACGTGAAGATAAAGTCATGATTCAATTATTAATTAAACTTCCATGTTTTCAATTGAGGACACCTCTTTTTCACTCCTCATGTCAGTAAAAGAACATGTTTTTAGACAGCAGGGTGTTCATGGCAGGTCACGTTACAGGCCTCTACAGTATATATAAGTCAGGGTTTTAGCATGTTAATTCTCTCAGGAGACCCCCAGTCTTACCCCTCCACTCCTGCCAGTAAAGCACAGTTTCAGTTTGCCCGGCCATATGGAGCAGCCTGAGGGAATAGCCTCTAGACCAGGGGTCTCCAACCTTTTTGTGAGTGAGGGCTCCCTGAACATTAATGATTTCTCACAAGCATTTAACATTTTTTTATTAATCCAGGAAAATATTCCAGATAAATTTATAAAAATAGGCTATCATACAATATTGATATTTATCATGATATTCATTTACCATTAATGGGGAAGGAAATGCTTTCCACATGTTTGTTAGACCTTGAGAATGAAGGTAAACATAACTTTGTTCACAATTAAATTCCACAGAGGAGCTACGTTTTAATTCAGGGCCCTATGAAATGCATTTTATTTTCCCCTAAATTCTGTGTTTTCCATTTGATTTCTTATGGATTCTGTGTTTTATGATTCAGTACAAATTGATCATAAAAAAATGGTGTCTAGTGAAATGTCACGTGTGTTTGAGTTTGTGTATCAGATGAAACTACTCCACGCATTCACACAGACTATGCAGACTTATTAGCGACATGCACTGACTGAAGATGATAAACTCTTTTACAACTAAATTTATACAACTATTTAATACAATTAATATGATGACCTAAAATATATAATAATTTACTTACTATTTGTACATAACACAATGCCCTTTTTTCAAGTGTTTTTTTACATAAAGTTCATAAAAAAAGGAAAATAAATAAATACATTATTGCAAGACTGACCTTAAAATCCTTTTGATCCTTCTACCAGCAGATGTCGTCGCTGCACTTTCCGATCAACTCTTTTTCTTTTTCTCACTAGCAAACTTAACCTGGATTAACCTTATTATTTAACTATTAAAACACAGTTTTTGTTCGCCATTATTTTTTATTTGATTACAAATATCTATTTACCTATGCATTATTTTATTTTTTTCCATGACTTGTTTAGGATCACTGCTAAGCATTTTAAAAACACAGATTTACAGCCTGAAAATGCATTTAATTAAAAATAATTTAAATTAAAAATGATTTAATTTAATAATATAGAAATTAGGACATCAAGCGTAAAAACTGACTGACAGATTAAAACATTTATTTTTTTTTTATTAAATCTGAACATTTTATTTAATTTTGTTCGATATTCTGGTACTAAAAACTAATTGTTATTTATTGAGTTGTTAAATACTCATAATTTTTCCATTCCTTGAAGACTGGCAAAAAAATACTCGGAAGACAAGAGATGAGTTAAGAGTAACGTTATAAGGTTACCACGCATAACTCAGTATATATTCCATAATACATTTGTAGACAGACCTTCCATGGCCGGTTCACCTGAAGCTGGGCGCCGTGGTGGGTCAGTTTCTTCTCCCTGCAGCCAGAGTTTGACCAGAGCAAAGCAACCAAACAACTGACCTCAAATCAGCGCGCCAGTCACATGCACTGACATCAGCGCCCGGCGCGGCAAAGTCTGAAATTACATCATTCAAGCCAACGCGGATAGTGGTGCCTTTTCAAATGCCTGATCATAATTACATACAGCTGGGCAAAAACTATCATATGATTTCATGTCTTCTCCATGGTATTTTAGACAAACAAAATGAGATATATGAGTTCTGAGGAACATTTCTGTCTGTGCGATAATTTAAGACTCGTATTACGATAAAGGCGTTGTTCGTGAATATTAATATAGTCACTCTGTCTCTTCTTTAAAACTTTCATATGCATAAATAATATTCATGACCCAACCTATGCGTCTGCGTTAACTACAGTACGTATTATTTAATATTCATAAGATAGTCCTTCGCCGTAGTAGGATAGGCAATTCGCGAAGCGTCTCATGTGAGGTCCTCAGGCATTCAGTGTGCGCCTCCCTTTGTGCCTCTCCACTCAAGATGGCTCCCGTTTTAGAGAAGAAGCTACTGGGCGCAGCCGGGACAGGCGACACTATGGAAAACAGCAACGAGGATGATGAAGGACAAAACCTCTGGTACGCCCGCACCCTCAGAGTGTCCAGGATTGCAGCGGATTTTGCAGGGAGTTAGTTTATTTGACAGTTGATGTGCTGCTTTGTCACCAGCCGGGTGCTGCCCAGTTCAGACGCCGGTCCCGGATGAGCCCAAAACACTTTACATAAACTTATAGCAAAGTCTGAGTCTGGCTAGATTAGACCTTTACAACGGGCGAAATAACGATGAAAGTCTTCGGAGGCGTTAGGAAACCGATTGTCTCGCTTTATATGCTCATGTCATGCTTACTGGCGTGGCTAGCATTTGTTAAAACTCGACGGTTAATGTTGAGTTCAAGTCGTTTCTGAAGAAGCTTTGCTTCGCTGATTTTCTATATGTACGAGTGGTGATTTCTTTTTATTATTATGATAAGTGTCAGGAAACTGACTCCTGCTGTCTGTTTCTGATGGGATCTAACGGTTGACTGACATCAATCACTAGTGAGAGGTTTCTTGTGGTAACGGCCTTTTCCGGATGTTTTGGTAGCATCATAGTACATAGTTACAGTTGTCTGCCGTCAGAACTAACCATCAAACTACTAACTACCGTATTAAACCTATGTTTGTTGATGGTATGGATGCCAATTGGTCGGTGCTCATTTGTTGTTTTGTCCTTCAGGTCTTCAATCCTCAGCGAAGTTTCCACACGCTCCAGCTCTAAATTGCCTTCTGGGAAAAATATACTGCTTTTTGGTATGTGCCTTTTTTGCTGAATTTGATTTTCAATCCAAATTCATGGCTTATTAAAAGTGTTGCTTCCAAATGTCGCCATGCGCATGCATTCAAATGAAAACCTTAGGTTAATACCTTTGAACACAGTATAGGGATCTGATATTGAAGGTTAGTTAACAAACAAATGAAAATTCTGTCATTTAATCATCACCCTCATGTTGTTCCAAACACGTATGATTTTCTTTCTTCTGTGGAACAAAAATGAAGAATGCTGGTAAACAAACTGTTTTGGTTACCTTTTACTTGTATTGTATGGACAGAAAATATCAAAATATATTCTGATGTGTTCTGCATAAGAAAGTAAGTCGTACAGGTTTGGGATGTTATGAGGGTGGGATCACAGAATTTTCATTTTTGGGTAAACTATCCTTTTAACTTTGTCCCAGTCATAAACTGAAATCATTTTCTTTGTCTAAACACTCTAATTACTACTTATATGTCATGTTTATTAAAAGTGATATGATTTCTGCTTATGTCTTAGGGGAGGATGGTTCAGGAAAGACAACACTCATGTCAAAACTTCAAGGAGCCGAGCACAATAAGAAAGGTAGAGGGCTGGAATACTTGTACCTGAATGTCCAGGATGAAGACAGAGATGGTAAGTGCGTTTATACTGGGTAAAAGTAGGTGATAAAAGTTTAAAAGAATTTTTGAACTAGGTCTGTCATGATGATAAAACTTGTTGGTTGGCATAGCTGCGATTAACTATTTAATTCTCTGTTTTTTTAAGTCATTTATTCACACTGAATATGAAATATATTCCTATAATGCTTTGTAAACAAAATTCTATGAAAAATGACATGGAAAAATAATAGTTTTAAGTATTGCTTTTTTTTTCATTCTCTTTTGGTCTGTGGAAAATGCAGTCTATTCAGTTTTTTAATTTACAATTTACAAAACTTCCAGATTTGACTCGCTGCAGCGTTTGGATCCTGGATGGAGACCTGTACCACAAAGGCTTGCTGAAGTTTGCAGTGACTGCTGAGTCGCTGAAGGACAGTCTAGCGGTGTTCGTGGTGGACATGTCACGGCCTTGGACCATCATGGAGTCATTGCAGAAGTGGACGAGTGTGCTGCGTGAACACGTGGACAAACTGAAGATCGCACCGGAGGAAATGAAAGAGATGGAGCAGAGTAGTAAGTGCTGTTTTGAATTTTTACTACTAGGTTGAAGTAGAACCAACGTCTTGGTCTTAGCTTGTGCAGGACATTCAGATTCAAGTGCGATTGTGAGTGATAGCATGTACATGAATTCTACCTCCAGCTGTCTTACTGCTAGACATCTTATTCCACTTTATTGTCCATACCATATCAACCCATGTCAGGCAGATGGGAACATGGATGTTGATACTATTTTTGTCAGTTTTCAAATATGCTTTTTCTTGTGAGAATTGTTTTGATCATATGTAAATGTTGAGATTCAGTAGCAGACAGTGAAGTGACACTGCTACATTTACATATTGACTTCGGGAGAAGAATTAGCAGCAGACAGAGTAGAGTAAATAACAGATTGTGATGCAGTAGTAAATACACAAATGAATTCCTTGTAACACAGCAGTTGCGGAATTTGAGGTTTTTGGTTGTTGTTGTTTTTTTTTTGATATGGTGAAGAATGATAATATTTCAGTGCCTAAACATTAGGACAAAGTTTATTTCCATTGTGAATTCAGTGTAAGTGATGCTAGTTCAAAAGCCATGTGAATTAGCCTTGATCTAGGTATTCTTTTGCTTTTATTAACGGGGTCATATGATGTTGCTAAAAAGAACATTATTTTGTGTATTTGGTGTAATGAAATGTGTTTATGCGGTTTAAGGTTAAAAAAA